CTCTCCTGACTCTCAGTGGGCGGGGATTCAATGTGGACGCGCGGGAGCCTAACGGCCCGGAACATCGAAGAAACCCACACTCTCCCGCAAGACAGGCAGCGTGGACTGCGCCGCTGGCTCCGAGTCAGCGGCAGCGCCCTGAGAGGCTCAGACGCTCCTGGGAGTACATGGCTGATGGTCGGCTGGTGACGTGAAGATCGTGGAACGGGGTCCAGCAGGGAGACGGGGCCACTACATCGCGCAGTCAGGCTGCAGGGAAGGACTGGACTCTGGCAGGAAAGAGTCTAAAATGGTCTGGAGAATTCCCTGAGTCAAGGACCGAATCGCACATAAGATGCCAAAGAATCAGAGGCCTGTCAGGTGGGAGGAGGGATGGAGATCACGCCTGGGAAGTGAAGGTCAAGTAAGAGGCAGTAACACACACCATCTCGGGGGCCTGCTGTGGCCCCAAGGTTTGCTCACACCGCCCCGTTCAGCTCCTGAACCAGCCCTCCCTCGAGAGCGGGCGGGCCTGTGAACAGGAGGGGGAGCCCCCGGGGCGCTGTGACTCTGTTCTGTAGGGCTGGGTCCCTGTAGAGGTTTCCTCCTGGCTTTGCTGAAGCCGCCCTATTGTGGAGGGGCCCCTGGCGGGGTACGGCGGGGCCCCGGGAGCTGAGAATGGCTGCCCATTGGCCTCCAGTAAGAAGGCGGTGTTGGTCGCAGTCCCTGCCCCATGGAATGAACTTACTGGCAGCGTGACTGTGTGGACCAGAGTGGCTGGGCTTGTGTCATAAGGGAGTTGCATGGTTAAGGGAACGGCAGCTACCGAGTCCTTCTCTGTGAACAATCCGTCTGACAGACAAGGCTGTGCCCACTGCAGGGCCCCGTTTCAGACTCCACAGTCCAGACTTCCCTTCCACTCCAGCTGCTGTCCCAGGCCCCCCCCACCAAGCACGGCCATCCTCCTCTGAGCTTCAAGTGTCCGTTAGCTTGACGGTCAGGCAACATGATGGCGTCTGTTTCATCATCACAAATGACAGTCCTTGTAGAGAAGCTCACCTTGCCTTGCGTACGGATGGTAAATTCCTCTGGAGACAAGGATAATATACTATTTTTTTAATATATTTTAGTGTACATCTAGAGCTCCAAAAATTCTCAACAAGCCTGTGGACTCAGTTACTGAGACACCGATTCTTAATAATCGCCTGCCCTCCCTACAGAGCTGGGGCCCCTGGGGTTTGCAGGTCCCTCCAAGGCGGGCAGATGCCCACATGAACGGGCTGAATTGGGTCAGCGTATCCCCCTCTCCATGACCACCCTAATGCTCACGTGGTCCAGGGTCTGCTGTCAAAGAACAGGGAGCCCCTCTGTCCTACATTTTCCCGCAGTCCCTCCCCCCAGCCCCTGCGACGAGTCCACACTTCACCACGTTCTCAGCTGACTGAGAAAAATCCCCAGGTGGAGTCGGGTCACCCTGACGATAAAAGAGCTTACAGTATGAAAAAGAGCTTTGATTTTTACTATTGAAGATTGAAATTGTCAATTAAAAAAATCCGTGTGTTATGATGTGCCAAGCAAAGCACGTGTCTATTGAAATAGTTCCTGTATCAGAAACGTTTCACCTGCTCAGAAGCAGGACTGCGAAGGGATGTTGTCTGTGTGATCTGCCCGCTGGCTTCCCTTCCGCAGTGCCCAGAGTTCATCCTCCACCCCGGCTCCTAAAATCGCATCACATCTGCCTCTCTGTCTCCCGTTGCTCTCAGGACAAGGCCCTGGTTCCTAAGCGGGTCTGGGAGCATCCTGCTCCCCTGCTCTGTCTGTCTCCCCTGCCTCTTTCCAGCCCCTCATGGCCTCCTTCATCCCCAGCGTTCAACCCCGTGTATCTCCACGTTTCACAGCATTCACAGAGCCTGGCTTTGCTCTACGGACAGCGCCTCCTGAACACTCCAGCTCACCCTGGACCACGAGCTCCCTGCTCGCCTGGGGCCATGGGCTCTCTGCTCTCAGTGGCCTTGACTTATTTTCTCTGAATTCTCAGCATTTAGCAGGGGCCTAAGATACAGTCAATGTTTAGTCTGTGCTTTTAAATGAATAGATTATTTTTGGATGACTTAAACACTTCACTGCTCCATCAGCTGACAGAGTCTGGAA